TAGGTTCCCATCCAGAAAACCACCACAGCCAGGAGCTGGGAGTTGGTCTCCATTTTCTCCTCCTCCTTAACCCTCATGGCCAACTAGTCAATGAGTGTTCTGGCTTTTAGCTTCTATGTATCCCTCCATCCATTCCTCTTTCCCTGTCCCTGGACTCTGGCTCCTTGATGGAACTAGTGAACGGCCTCCGACCTGGATTCCGTGCCTGCACTGTGGCCTGTGTGAAATGCTGGGGGGTGGGCAGGGAGAAAGGAGTCCCGTCTGTGCAGCAGGCCCTCAGGGGGCTCACAGTCTGCTGGGAGAGCCCAGACGAGGGCCCATGGGAGGAAAACACGGGGCAGGAAGGGGGCGGCGCCATGCAAGTTCGGAGAAGGGGGAGGCCGTGGCTAGTGGGACATCAGGGAAGGCTACATCTGAACCCGGGCCTTGAGGGGGTCAACGGGCAGAGCAGAGCGGGCACTCCAGATGTGTGCAAGAAGAGTGTGAACCAAGGGATGGATCCGGGGAAGCAGGGGAGGTCAGGGACCCGGGAGGTCTGAGCAGGCTCCTGGATGGCGGGTGGGGTGGGGAAGGAGGAGACACTGGAGCCAGAGTTTGCAGGCCCTAAAGGGTGGAGAGAGAAGTTTGCATATTCAGTAAGGAAGCCCGGGCTGTTTTTGAAGGACTTCCTGAAGAGGACAGATAGACTCTTGCCAGTCCTTAGACAGCTGGCCGAGCGGAAGGGTGAGGAGGGCAAGAGGCAGGAAGGCAGGAAGGAGACTCTCGCCTGGGATGAGATGAGAGCCAAGAGGGATGCCCAGAAAAGTGATGTTCAGGAAACGGAATCCAGAGGTTTCAGCACCCGGACCACACAGACACAGATGGATGGAAAGACCTAAATTAAAACAATGTAGCTATCACTTAAACAAACACAAATAAGAGCAGCTGTCCAAGTTGATTCTGACTCATGGCAACCCCATGGGTGCAGAGCAGAACGGTGCTCCATAGGGTTTTCAATGGTTGAGTTTTCAGAGAGATTGCCAGGCCTTTCTTCTGAGGCA